GTAGGGCTGGACATGGTGCACTATGAAGCTTGCTGCCACCAGTTCACCTCTCATCTCCATGCCCTGAATCAAGTCGAGGAGCTCCTTCACTTGCTCCATGTCAACACTGTTTGGTCTCTCCGACCAGCTACTCTAGCTCTTCGGGATGTGGTGGACATCGCACCGGATTACCAGGTGGCTCTGCTTAATGTAGAACCACCTGGCATTCCATCCTTTCAGAGAAGTGTTCAGCGGTACATTGATGTACTTGCTGGCCATCCCATCCCTGAGTTGCAGATATATACCGCCGACCACCTTGGAACCACTGCCGCCTTTCTTCTTCAACTAGAACAGGTGTATGAAGGGGTTGAAGTGTGGAAGAATCCCCAGAAACGCCTCATAGAAATGGATAAAGACCGAGATGTGTAGTACGGTGTTTGGGTGAAGGTTGCACAGGCTAATCACCCAAAACTCCAGAAGATCTCTCAGGAAAGGGTGAATAGGAAACCCCAACCCTCGCTAAAAATAATCCTCAAATACTACAGCTTCATCGGTGTGAGGTGTCGAGAAGGGCTCACCGCTGGCTGGCCGCCATCCGGCGGTGACGCGGTCTAGAAGAACGCCCACTGCTACCATTCCGTTGAGCTTCGCCTCCCCCATCTTCGACGGCACCCATTCTTCGTCGCGGCTGGCTTCGGCAGTCGCTTTCCTTGGCTTCGTAGCTCCCTTTTTCGGCGCCATTCTCTCGGATCTGGATTGAGATTGGAGGCAGTTGCACGTGTCGATGCCGATTGGGAAGCGCAAGAGCTGAGAAAGAAGATGACTGGGAGAAATGGCAAAGGTGGGGAGCGTGGGGTGCAGCGACGCAGTTATAAAGCACTCTATCAACTATTTCACAATCGAGGGTTTTTGGGAAACCATTCCCGATTTGCGCTTCTCCGAATTCTCATAAGCGGCATATGGGCCGTTACCTAGGTTTTCACGTAACCGCAGCCCACGTAGCCATTTGTCACCATCGTCAGTTGATTACCCGTCGAATAATCGCCGACTTCTCCGCCATTTATTGAGGCTCAGTAACAGTTACTGTACGGCCATTTCTCCGTTTTTTCTCCACGGATGGATTCCTCCGATATCTCCGCTTGCGGCTCGGGGACCGGTTGCCTGCTCGGCTGTTTTTTCACTACTTCTTTGTTTCTAACCCTGACACCACATGACTGCGTCATCTACTGTTAGGCTCGGGGACTAAGTGGGCACACTTCACCTTGCGGTGAATGTGCTTTATTTTATTTTGGGGCTACGCCCGGGGACTGGCTGCTCGCTCAGCTGGTTTTGCTCCACTGTTCTACTTTGGACCCTGACACCACATGACTACGTCATCTACTATCAGGCTCGGGGACTAAGTGGGCACACTTCACCTTGCGGTGAATGTGCTTGCTTTTTTCTAGAAGATTCCGTGCCTCTAGAAGCTGAAGAAGACTAACTTTTCTCTTGTGGTCGGATTCTAAGTGGGCACACTTGGTCCACTGCGAACAAAATTTTTGGTTCTGGACTTGAACTCCTTACACCCTTATGGCAAGCCGTACTTGGGTTATGCTGCTCGGCTACGGTTTACGCTGCTCGGCGATGGTACACGCTGCTCGGCAACTGCTCACAATAGCTCGGCGACTCATCACGGTGGTCGGACCATGAGTTTGACTACTCGGCTTTGATTCACATATGCTCGGACAAGCTCAAGACGGCGTTGCACAACGGGTACAAGACGCTCGGGGACTAGCTGTGGGGGGTACGACCCCGGATACCCATGACAGACCACATGGGCTGCGCACCTTAGGGCGGCCCAGCCCACAAGACGAAGCCTTGCGGGGCATGACTCTGGTCGGCGCCGCCCGCAAGACATCTGGAATATATCCTGAAGATACTATGAGATCTGTTAGGATATGTATGATCCCAAGATTCCTGTAATCAGTTATTACTTTTCGGTTATCTCTCAGATCTAACCGACTAGAGGGAAGAGCGAAGAGCGATGGAGGGAGGTCGGCCGCGTGCGGCCGAACCATGCAGCAGCGTACCGCGGTGGCACGGTCGCATTAGCGGCGGAGTAGAGGCAGTAGCGACTAGACTGAGGTACGCAGGGCTAAGAGGAGCAGCAAGGCGAATGTAGTGGCCCAAGTAATTGGGCTCGAGTGGAGGAATGGAGGTCTGCCCTCGGTCATGGCTGAGACACGGCCTTAACGGCACGCCGGTGGAAAGGAGCCAAATTGGCGCTTGGCCGAGGCGTCATCATGGCTGTGCGGTGCTGGGTGGCGAGAAGATGGGAGGGCGAAGGTACAGACGGACGGAATTGAGTAGAGATGACCGCTCTCTGGCTCGCACGTGGGCACGGCTCGACGGTGGCAGGGAGATGAGAAACAGAGAGAGGGCGGTGGGGTACGGTCGGTGGCTCGGCGTGTGCGCGCCTTGGTTGGATGTGGTTGGCGTGACCGTGGAGACCCACGTTCGGGCGATAGCAGACAGGCGCGCGCATTCGCGACCGACGTGGCCCGCGCGCCGCAGTGCCACCAATGGCATGGCGACAGCAAGCACGGCCACGTGTGCGCGGCATCCAACCGGGCCAGAGGCGCAACGCAAGGATGACGCGACGACAGCGGCTGCATCGCGACGCACGGGGGGCTGGCAGCGCGGCAGCACGTAGGATAGGGGAAGCGCCACACGGCCGCGCGAGCAGCAGCAGCGGCCCCACGCTACAGCGCCCCCGACGGACCGGACAGCCGGCAAGGCTAGCTGAGCATGGACAGCGCGCGGGCGCGCTCAAGACGCACCGACGCGACGACGTCGTCCCCCTGAGGCGCGATGACCGCGCCCACTCGGGGAAACAGGCCGAGGACGTGCTGTGCATGGTTTTAAAGCTCCCACCGCGACTAAACCGCTACTACAAAACCTAATCGGTCTTAACTACACTCAAGATGGTATGCGAGACTACCAAATCGAGTTATAACACTACATCACCCCTTAACCCAATCTCTCAAAATAATTTGTTAAACATAGCAATGTCTAGCTGTTGACGAACTTGAAAAATTTTCTAAGTTTTTGAGTTGAACTTGATTTCAATTTGTAATTTCTAGACTAGTAGAAATATTAGTTAGTAATATCATTTTTCAACAGCAAATATTTCACCGTCATTTATAAAGTTCATATTTTAAACTTTATTTAAATGTCACATGTGTGTTCTATAGTGTTTTTGTTCAATAAAAATTGGTTTACAACCCTACTTGTTAGTTGTATGAGTTATGAAGTAACTTTTTGTTTAACACTTTTATTAATCGTTTTAATTGTAATGCTTCATCTATGCAATCCATCACATGCACTGACACATAAATATGATGCTCATGACGTGTCTTAGTAAATGATTTAGGGTACAACACCGAGGGTGTTACAGATAACTATAGAAAGATATATCAATGAGTTAAAAGATAAATTTAGACCAATACTAGCACATTTGACAGTAAAAAAAAACTAGCAAATTTGACAACAACAAATATGACGTGTTTTAAGGCCTGTATGGTTTCATCCTAAGGAACTCGCTTGCCAAGCATCAACACCAGGTGATATCAGAAGCAGCTTCCTCGACGAGGGTTCAACAAACACGCTCTAACATCGTCCGCACAGATCCATTCGGTCCATAAAAGGCAAATAAATAAATAAAATAAAATCTGAAGGTACCTCACGGAAACGCTGCAATGGTAGACTTTTTTTTCTCGGTTTGCTTCTCTTATAATTCGTCTTTTTCAAACTTATTTTTTTAAATTTTAACAATATTTTTCTCTCATGAACAAATCAAATAGGACAGATGTTTCTATTGCTTTTTTCAAATGTCGAACGGGACATTTATATAAAAATATATAATATTAGTATAAATAATATAAACATACTACACGTAGCCCACCATAATCCAGCCAGCGTTACCCTCACATCGTACACCGTAAACTACGAACCCAGAGCACTACAGGATGGATGAGCTTGCGGATTGAGCTCCCGCGGGCAATCAAACAAACCCGCAATTTGTTGGTCTCGTTTGCCCCGAAACAGTCCGCGCGCCGCCGTCAACACGGCGGGTGGGTGACGATGACGAGGGTTCGTTCCGTGCCCGTGCGGCGCTCCCAGTCCCAGTCCCAGTCCCAGTCCCAGCTGCTGAGCTGCGCTTGCTCCCATGGTTTCCAGTTTCCACCACCACCCCGCACCGCGGGGCGGAACGCCGAACCGCGAGGCCAGCGGTGGGTGCGGAGCCACTAGCGACAACATTGCACGAGAAATACCAATACCACCGGTGTTTTTTAGCGTTTTCCCCTCGCCTCTCCCCCCAACTCCCGATGCTGCCCTCTGTAGCTGTACTGCTTGCTTCTCTCGGTCCAGCTATCCCCCATAGACTTCGCACCAACCGCTCTCGCACACACCAAAGAGGGAAAAAAGGCCTTGTTTTTTCTTCGAAAAAAAAAGAGAGAGAAAAATTATACTCCTCTCTCTCTCTACTGTCCAGCCGCGGACACCAAGGCAGGCAGGGGCAGGCAGGCGGACAGGGAAGGCAAGAGGCGAGCTCGGCGAAGGCGCTGAGGGAGACAGCTGAGCCAGCCGCCCCGCTGCATTGCGCTACATTGGGCAGGAGGGCTTGCCGCCGCCGGGGGAGGCTCGGATCTTGGCGTCTCTGGCCGGCCGTAGCTGCCGCGCGCTTCGTTTGGTGGCGCTGCGCCCATTTGCGGGCGGGCGGCCTCGGTCCAGCGCGGCGTGATCTGGCGCGCGCCGCCGACGCCGCTCGCGTGGGGAGGCCTGGATCTTGACGCGCCGCTGTCGCTGCCGCGAGACCCTGGGGGGCGGCACGGTGTGCTCATCAGTCGCCCGCAGTCCGCTGAGCTGCCGACTACGCCCGGCGGGCGGGAGATCTGGCCGACGGCGCGGCGCTGCAGATCCCCTGCCTGCGCGGGCACGGCTCACTGCTGCTGTGGAGGCTGTTGCGCGCGGCGGTGCCGATGGGCTACGGGTACGTGGATCCCTTCCTGCCCCCGCAGCAACAGGCGGCGTACGTCGCGCCGCAGGGGGACTACGGGCAGCCGCAGGCGCAGCCGGCTCCGCGGCCGCCGGCTTGCCCGTACTCGTCGTCCGCCTCGGCTCCGCCGGTCTCCGCGTCCTACCATTCTTCGCCTCCGCCGGTAAGTAGCCCACCTCCGGCGTCCCCTTTGCCGGAGCCATCGCCGCCGCCTCCTGCACCATTGCCGCCGTCGCCGCCACCGCCGGCATTGTCGCCTCCTCCGCCAGACGCTCCCCCTCCGTTGCTTCCACCGTCACCGCTGCCATATCCAACCCCGTCACCGCCTCAAGCCCCGCCGCCCCCGCAGGCGACGGACCAGCCGCGCGTTCAGCCCCGCGTATACCCATCACCGCCACCGCCGTCCCTTCCTCCGCCGCCGCCTCCCACCGTCTCGCCGCCATCGCCGGCTCCATCCAACTCACCATCGCCGTCGCCTGCTCCAGCTGCACAAGCTCCGGCTCCCGCGCGTGTTGCTGCCTATTCGCCTCCCCCGCCAAGAATCGCCCCTCCGCCGCCTCCGCACTATCACGGCAAGTCGCATTACACGCCGCACTCGCCCGTGAAGTCGCATTCGAACTCGACCCATGCAGCTAGTGGCAGCGGCAAGAACATCGAGATATCGAGGGAAGCGGCCACCACCATTGTAGCACTGGCCGGTCTCGCTATGCTCAGCTTTATTGGCGCTACCATTTGGTTCGTCAAGAAAAAGCGCCGGCGCATAGAGCCCCCGGCAGCACTGCCTCCACAGCAACCAGCTCCACCACCACCGCCCAATTACATTCCATCTTCGGCTGGATCCTCACTAGCTTCAGGTAAGAGCGCAAACACTGGTGTTGTTTTTTCACGTATTCCCCAATTTTAGACATCAAGCTAGTGCTAAGTGTTTATGCTGGACAGACGGATTCTACTTGAGATCGCCAGGGTATCCTTTCATGAGGTACAGCACCGGGAGCCATGGTTTTCCATACTCTCCAGCGGACTCTGGGATTGGGTATTCCCATATGCTGTTCACACCAGAGAATTTGGCAGCTATCACAGATGACTTTGCAGAAGAGAACCTTTTGGGAGAAGGTGGATTTGGGTGTGTGTTCAAGGGCATTTTGCCAGATGGTCGCACAGTCGCCGTCAAGAAGCTCAAGATTGGGAATGGGCAAGGCGAGCGTGAGTTCAAGGCTGAGGTCGATACTATCAGCAGAGTACATCATAGGCATTTGGTTTCTCTAGTAGGCTATTGCATTGCGGAGGGCCAGCTAATGCTTGTTTATGATTTTGTTCCCAACAACACACTTTATTACCACCTCCATGGTGAGGACATTTTTCTTTCAGTTATAATATTTTCTAACATTTATTTAATGCCAGCTTCATTAGAACACTCTAATTATTCATCGATTATATGATCATTAACTTGACCTCTCAAAACTGCAGTAAGTGAAGCATCACTGGATTGGCGGACAAGGGTTAAGATTGCAGCTGGAGCAGCCCGAGGGATTGGTTACCTCCATGAAGATTGTAATATTTTTGCTAAACTATTTCTTCAGCGACCCCCTAATGTTGGATAGTTTTCTTAGTATTTGCTGTTTTTGTTCATTAGGTCATCCACGTATTATTCATAGAGATATTAAATCATCCAATATTTTATTGGATAACAACTTCGAAGCTCAGGTATGATGTGATTTGCTATATAAGTCTAGAGATCAATATTTTGGTATGCTATTGTGATCATAATTATTGTCAAAATTTGTTATATTCTATGGAAACTATCCAGGTTTCTGATTTTGGACTTGCAAGGTTAGCTGCCGATTCCAATACACATGTTACCACACGTGTCATGGGGACATTTGGGTAAGTAATGAAGCAAATCCACACCATCTTGCGTTTTTCAGAGTTTATTTGCTAATCTACGCCCAATATCTTGTTTAGTTTACAGAACTAATATGATATATTTCCTCTCCAGGTATTTGGCTCCAGAGTATGCATTGTCAGGCAAGTTAACAGCAAAGTCTGATGTATATTCTTTTGGGGTTGTTCTTTTGGAGCTTATTACAGGAAGAAAACCTGTTGATGCTTCTCAGCCATTGGGAGATGAAAGTCTGGTCGAATGGGTGAGTTCATTTTATTATATAATAGTTGGACTTACTGCATGTCACTACTCACTAATGTTAGGTTCTAAAGTATGCGTAAATTTTATGATTTTTAACCAGTAACCATAGTCATGAGATTGAGATCCACTAATAAATAACATGATCATTTTGTGATATGATATACCAATGGATGTGTCTAGACTTCTTCTGTTCTTCAAGCTTCGACCGTTGATTTCCTGTTCCACAGGCTGTCGATAAATATCCATTAAGTTGATGTGGAAGTGGAATGCCTCAAAATTTGAGTTTTATCTTGCAGTAGCTAGTTCTCTGCTGATGCTTTCACTAGTTTATTCTTTTCCCTTAAAAGCTGAATGGGCATTGTATTTTTTACATGACATGGGCATTGCTTCTGGTTGTTATCCATAATATGTTTAATCCTGCCACTGGTCCCATTTGCATTGTATGTCAACCAAGAGTGATCTGGAGGGAACCCAGTTGCTAAAAGTTCTAGGAACTGTACCTTTTATAAAGTGGGCAACCAGATTATTCTTCCAGAGTGGCACGCAAAAAGTGGCTAGAGTGCTAGGGACTTATTTATTGCAGTCTTCATACTGTGGTTCAGCATGAAAGAAGCTCAGATGGGAACTTAGCAATGACTCAAGGAGCTTGATGCAGGACCAAAGCAGAACACCAGTTATAACTGTTGCAATCATGAAAGGAGCTGACACATTACACAAATGACACCTTAATTGATCTGAACACATTCCTAAAGAGCACAAGTGTAGATATGCAAACCACAAGGGGAGACGCAAGAATTTTTCCCTGTTTGTGGAGTGTCCAAGGCGCTACTCTACTAGCTCAACAAACCCTCAAGCTTGACTACGATGTGAGCGCTAGTGATGGTAATCCATAGTTGTTTGATATGGTTAGAATGATTCTACGTCTTTTACAATGAAGAATATGAATCCCATATCCAATCAATGAGATCGGTTGTAACAGATAACATGGGGGCTATATTTGGCTCAATGTGTGTGTGTGTGTGTGTGTGTGTGTGTTTCTATTTTTCATTGTGAGAGCTTAGCATTTGGACTTGGACAAGCTTACCGCTGTTACGATCTTAACTCAATTTTATGCATGCTGGAATTTTTCAGGCTCGCCCTCTTCTGATGAAGGCAATTGAGCATCGGGAGTTTGGGGACCTTCCTGACCCTAGGATGGAAAATAGGTTCGATGAAAACGAGATGTTTCATATGATCGGAGCTGCAGCCGCATGCATTCGGCATTCTGCAGCAATGAGGCCACGGATGGGGCAGGTAACAATAGTCTGCAACACTTTTTCCCCCTATTCCTGAATGACTGACAACAAAGGATCAAAACGTGACCGTGTCTCATCTCCCAGGTGGTTAGAGCACTAGATAGTTTAGCAGACTCTAATTTGAACAACGGCCTTCAACCCGGACGCAGCGAGATATTCTTAGAGCCACAATCCGAGGAGATTAGATTGTTCCAGTTGAGGGAATTCGGCAGCCGGGATTGTAGCGACGAGTTGAGCCAAGCAAGCTGGAGAAGCCGAAGAGATTTGTGAACAGATTCGGTACAAGATCATTAACATTCTTTTTGGTCATTCTTTACATGTAATTATCTCTTTTACATGATTCTTTCTTTCTTTCTTTCTTTCTTTCTTTCTTTCTTTCTTTCTTTCTTTCTTTCTTTCTTTTTGTTACTCCTCCCTGAGGCAATTCTTGTTCCCGGTGGAATAAATTTTGCATTCTTTCAGGAGATAAGTAAATGAATCCTCTTTTTCCCAGTGAAAGAGTACACAGAAAGTTTTGTTCCTGGCATTCTCTGATAAATACTCCAGTAAACAATCTTGCTCATTATCTAAAAAAAAGGGTAAACAATTTTGCTATGCCTCACTGCTTTTGGAGCAGGCCAGTGGCCAGCTGCTGCCCTTGCACTGCAAGTCTCTGTATGAGGATTAAGTTCACTGTATGCTTAGGAGAACTATCTACAGGTGTTGCGTTGGGCGGGCACAAGTACAATGATTAGCGATGCTAATTTTTATTCGTGATGAATTGCATGCATCCTACGCTCAATTATTCCCACCCTCCGTTTTGTCAAAAGGCTGGACGGGGGCACATATCATTGAGATTTCCATAGATCCCCATCCCTCGCGCCGTCGGTCAGGATCGGTGGATCGCCTTGATGCGGTCGCAATAATTCGGAGCGGCAGCCACATGATGGAGAACCGGTGGCAGATGGCAATGTCTTACCAAGAAATACGCGTACGAGGGGCTTGTTTGGTTGCAGCCACGAATCATTTGCCTGAAGAAAGATGCTGCCTGTATGTTGCCTGCAAATCCATTTGATTTTGCCTGGCCAGGCAACCGCATGGGTGACTGTTTGGTTGAAGCTACTGCCTGGAAAAGAAAGTTGTGGGCCCCTGTGTGAGAGATAGCAAGGGATTTGGGGAAGAATTGGGAAGAATTGGAGAGCACGAAGGGGATGACGGCGGATCCGGCAGGAGCCCGGAAGGCAGGTTGTATTGAGTTCGTAGAGTTGTTTACAAAAATATGTCTGCCTTCTTCTCCTCTCATTCTCTCTTAAGTACACGGAGAGAGGTATCTCCAGCACGCGCGTGCAAGCGCTCCGCCTACTTGGCCCATTCGTTTCCTGCGTAGCGCGCATTGGGCCGCCTGGGCCTCATAGCCTTGGGCCGTTGTCCATCATCAGCTTCTTCCTCCTGATCATGACGGCCGGTGGTATGGGAGGTGCTCACATCCCCTCCTCCTTGGAACGCTGCTTGCCCCCAAGCAGCGGCTCGAGGGAACTCCTGGCGGAGGGCTTCATAATCCTCCCATGTAGCGAGTGAAGTTGGCAGGTTGTTCCACTTGACAAGGACTTGCTGGACGGAAGCAGTGCCACGACGCGCCAGCCGAGTCTGGAGAACCTGTCCCACGCGCTGAAGAATTTCATACGGGCCAAAGAATCTGAATGCCAACTTCTGATGGGAGCGTGGTGCCAAGGAAGATTGCACGTAAGGTTGCAGCTTGAGGAAGACCTTGTCACCCACTTCAAACTGGCGCTCGGAGCGGTGTTGATCCGCTTGCTTCTTGAGTCTGGTCTTGGCACGATTCAGGTGGTGTTGCAACAGCTGGTCCATCAAGGCTCGATCGGCAGACCAGCTTGTCAATTCTGTTGTGGACGGTGCAGATGTAGGCAACACCAGCAAGCGAGGGTAGTACCCATACAAAGCTTCGAAAGGAGAACGACCAATAGCGGAGTGAAAGCAAGTATTGTACCAGAATTCTGCGGAAGCGACCCACTGATTCCATTTCGTTGGACAGGCGTGGACAAAGCATCTGAGATACGTCTCGAGACATTGATTGAGTCGTTCCAACTGCCCGTCAGACTGCGGGTGGTAAGCGGTGCTGTGACGGAGTTGGACACCGGCTAAGTTGAACAATTCGGTCCAGAAGTTACCGGTGAAAATGCGGTCCCGATCCGAAACAATGGAAGATGGCAACCCATGGTGATGATATACCTACTCCATGAAGGCCTTGGCCACACCAGCCGCAGTGAATGGATGGCTGAGTGGGATAAAATGGCCATATTTAGTGAACAGATCAATAACGACCAGGATACAGTTGAATTTACCAGAAGGTGGGAGGCCCTCGATGAAATCCATTGAAATGGTTTGCCAAGCAGTGGTGGGCACTTGGAGAGGCTGGAGAAGTCCAGGTTGTTTGGTGCGGTCATATTTGGATTGTTGGCAGATGGAACAAGATTGGACAAAGAGCTTTACAGCCGATGTCATACCCTTCCAAGAAAAGAACTGCCGGAGCCTGGCACATGTGACTGGTACTCCGGAGTGACCCCCCCAAGCACTGGCGTGAAATTCGGCAATCAGCCTGTTCTGAAGCTCCTTATCTGCACCCAACCAAATCTTGTTACGACAGCGCAGAATACTAGCGTGCCAAGTGAAGTGCGGCACAGCTGATGAATCAACAGATAATTTCGTAATGAGCTCTTGAGCCACCGGGTCCTGCTCGTAGCTGGCTGCGACGGCTGAAAGCCAAGAGGGCACTACAGTGGAGACAGCTGCACAAGTGGCTGGCGGAGCAGGATGGCGGGATAGCGCGTCTGCTGCCCGATTGTCGGCACCCTTGCGGTAGATGATTCTGTACTGCAAGCCCAATAACTTGGAGAATACTTTGTGCTGCCAATCAGTGTGTAAACGCTGATCGCCCAGTTGCGTGAGGCTCTTGTGATCAGTTAAGATGGTGAATTCCTGAAACTGGAGGTAGGGGCGCCACGTTTGAACAGCGAGAAGAATGGCCATGTATTCTTTCTCGTATGTCGATAAGCCACGTGACTTGGGACCCAACGCTTTACTGAGGAACGCGAGAGGGTGGCCATCCTGCATCAGTACAGCCCCAATACCCATGTCAGATGCATCAGTCTCAATGCAGAAAGGGCGGCTGAAGTTGGGTAAGGCCAGGATAGGAGCGTTGCATAGGGCATCCTTCAGTGTCTGAAATGCCCTGTTATGGTCCTCAGTCCACACAAACAGCACATGTTTCTTGAGTAGGTTGGTCAGTGGCTTGGAGATGATGCCAAAGTGCCGCACGAACTTTCTGTAATACCCCGCAAGACCCAAGAATCCCCTGAGCTCTTTGACTGAATCTGGGATTGGCCACTGAGCAATAGCATCGAGTTTTGCCAGATCGGTACCCACTCCGTTAGGCGAAATAATGTGGCCCAGGTATGATATTTTCTGTTGGGCAAATGAACATTTGGACAGTTTGAGCTTCCAGTGATCACGCGCCAAAGCTTGAAACACCAGACGGATATGCTCCAGATGGGACTCCCAGGTAGGGCTGTATATGAGTATATCGTCGAAGAATACTAGAACAAAGTGACGAAGATACGGACGCAACGTCGTGTTCATAGCATCCTGAAAGGACCCTGGCGCTCCCGTGAGACCAAATGCCATGACACAGAACTCAAACTGGCCAAAGTGAGTCTGGAAGGCTGTTTTAAACTCCTCAGCCGCCTTCATTCTGATTTGGTGGAATCCGGCTTGGAGGTCAAGGCTAGTGAAGAATGACGCCCCAGCCAATTCGTCTAGCAGCTCATCGATGATTGGCACCGGGTACTTGCCCTTGATAGTTATAGCATTGAGATGGCGGTAATCGACACAAAAACGCCATGTACCGTCTTTCTTCTTCACTAGTAACACAGGAGAAGCAAAGGCACTAGAGCTCTTCTGAATGAGACCTTGCTGCAGCATCTCGCCCACTTGCTTTTCAATTTCGGTTTTCAGTTGTGGAGCATAACGATAGGGACGAATGAACACTGGTTGGGCTCCAGCGATCAGAGGGATCGAATGGTCGCAGTCACGTCTTGGCGGAAGGTCTGTTGGAGGCTGGAATAACTCAGTGAATTCCGCCATAAGTGAGGATATTGCAACTGGTACTGCGGGATCAGAAGAGGCACTGTCAGCAACTTCAGCCTGGAGCATAGTTAACTGAATCACTGAGCCTACTGGTAATTGAGGTTCGCGTCCCAACAGCAAGGCAGAACTGCCATTGTAAGGAATTGAGATCCACTTATGCTGCCAGTGAATGTGCATTGGGCTGAAACTTGAGAGCCAATCGAGACCTAAGATCATATCATACGCAGACAACGGCAATATCTTCAAGTCAGTATTGAAGGCACATCCCTGTACTGTCCAAGTGGCACCGGGGATAAATGAGGCACACCGCAGGACCGCGCCGTTGGCCACCTGCACATGAATCTCGTGATCTAGACTCTGAACCCCGTGCAATGACTGAGCCACCGATGCACTGAGGAATGTATGCGAACTGCCCGAGTCCACCAAGATTGCAACCGGCAAACCCTGAATGAAACCGTCAAGGCACAGAGTCTTGGGGGCAGAAGCGCCTGCAATAGCAGCCATAGACAGGTGTAACATGATGTGGGCACCAGGGATGGGATCAGGCGTGTCTTCATCTGTATTGTCATCCAGGTCTGGGAAAACATCGAGCAGTTCCTGGACCATGTGAAGCTGAACGGCGGCTGGGCAGCGGTGATCGCGGCTCCACTTCGCCCCGCAACGGATGCAGAGACCCCGAGCGCGGCGAGAAGCCCGCAGAGCACGAAACTTTTCTTCAGCAGAAGCAATCGGAGTGGCTTCCACGCGATCCGCACCCCCAGCAGGATGAGTCAGTTGTGGAGCTGGTAATGGCGCGCCGTGGCCGAGCCAAGGCTGACGTGGGACTGTGGCCACATCATTGCGCCGATAAGTCTTCCTGGTAGCCGCCAACGCGTCCTCCTGCAATTGCGCGAAGACACAAGCAGCATCGAGAGAAGATGGACTCTGAACAAGAAGTACGACTTTGATCTCATCCCGCAGACCCTCTATGAAACGTTGAATGTAATAGAGTGGGTCTGGGTGCTTAGCATAAGCGTTTAGCTGGTCAACCAAGGCAACAAACTGTTCGACGTACTCAGAGACAGTTCCAGTTTGACGCAGCTGAAACAGGCGACGCAATAACAGGGCGTGCTCGTCTTTAGCAAAGCGGGCAAGGATTTGGCTACAGAATTCCGACCAGGTAGTGGACTCAAGTTCATCTTCTACAGAGGATAGCCAGCGTTTTGCAGCGCCCTTAAAATGCATGTTAGACGCTTGAACCCAAAGCTCAGACTCCACGCGATACAGTTTGAAGTAGTGGGTGGCTTGTTTAATCCAGAGCTTGGGGTGTTGACCATCAAAGGTTGGGAAATCAAATTTTGGTAGTTTGCCGGTATGACCTCCCCCACTTCCCCCTTGGAAAACCGACTCCCAGTGTGAGGTATGGTTAGGTGGTGGTGGTGGGCGTGGCGGTGGACATGGAAGAGGATAGGGGACAGGCGGATGGCGAGGAGACATACCCTTGCCGGGAGGTGGAATCAGAGTGGTAACCACTCCAAATTCACCATCCCGGTTCCAGTGTTCGACGCGGTGCCCGCTGGGCCGATTGGCTGATAATCCCGCAGATGGGCGCGGGGCAGCCATGAAGTCGCCAGGCATGGCGGACTTGAGTGTAGGCGATAGCGTCGGCTTCAGTGTCGGAGACGACGTCGGCTTGGTGTTCGGGGAGGATGCTGTCGGAGAGGATGGCCACGACGAAGGCCGTGGGGGCGCCGTGGGCGCGCCATCGCCCGGCATCGACGCAAACACTCCCGGGGTTGCCGACGGGGCGTCCACCATGGTGCGCTCCATGTACTTGGAGATCTTCCCGACCTCGAGCCGAAGAGAAGACAACTTGGTGACCTCGAGGCGGAGGTCGTCAACCACACCGTCGACGCCCGGGCGCCATTCGTCGAACAACTTGGCTGCGTGCTCCAGTTGGTCGAGGCGGCTCGCAGAGGAGTCTGTGGAGAGCGCGACCTTCCGCGCGAGATCGTCGAAGCGCTGCTCCTGAGCGATGAAGCGCTTGTCCAACTCGGCGAGGAGAGCCTTCTGGTCGGGACCCATGGCGCCGCGACGAACCGTGAGGCGTGTGTAGTGATCGTGGGTGGCGGAAGGGGCTGGATCCAGGTCGGTGAACACGTGACGGATGCGAGCCGAGGAGCGGTGTCTCTGATACCACTTGTGAGAGATAGCAAGGGATTTGGGGAAGAATTGGGAAGAATTGGAGAGCACGAAGGGGATGACGGCGGATCCGGCAGGAGCCCGGAAGGCAGGTTGTATTGAGTTCGTAGAGTTGTTTACAAAAATATGTCCGCCTTCTTCTCCTCTCATTCTCTCTTAAGTACACGGAGAGAGGTATCTCCAGCACGCGCGTGCAAGCGCTCCGCCTACTTGGCCCATTCGTTTCCTAAGTAGCGCGCATTGGGCCGCCTGGGCCTCATAGCCTTGGGCCGTTGTCCATCATCAGCTTCTTCCTCCTGATCATGACGGCCGGTGGTATGGGAGGTGCTCACACCCTGCAAATCCATTTAATTTTGCCTGGCCAGGCAACCGCATGGGTGACTGTTTGGTTGAAGCTACTGCCTGGAAAAGAAAGTTGTGGGCCCCTGGAGAGTTTTCACGGTGATTAAAGTCTGCAAGCAGCAACCAGGCAGTCGATTTTGGTTGCATGGGGAAGAAGCATCTGCCTGGCCCAAGCTGCTGCCCAGGGCTTCAACCAAATACCTTCCGGGCAGATTACAGGCAACAGATTTTCCAGGCAAAAGTGACTCCAAACAGACCCAAGCTGCGTGGATGGAGGAGCGACCGCTGCACCGCACGTCTGTCGGTCGGTGCCGCTTCTTCTTTTTTTTTTTTTTATTATAAGATCACACAACACAAGCACACTCACCCTCTATGAAAGCCTACCCTATGAGCACCCTATAAGTCTGGGCCGGTAAATCCTCAAGACGATATTGACGAAGTTACCATAGGTGTCTCGATGTCAATGGGAACGTTACCCACCACTAAAAGCAAAAAGTTGTTAAATCTTGAAATATTCGCTCTCGCATGGAATTAAACTCAGGATCTCAGGTGCTACTTACGTGTCCTTTGGCCTCTTCTTCTTGTTTTAATTATTTTTTCCTTTTCTTCGCAAAAAAGTTGTTTCAGTTAGGCTGTCGTGGGCCACATCGGCTTTAGCGGGAATCTAATGCAGAGCCCACGCCAGAGGAAGCCCAATAAAATTGGAGGGCCGAGGGCTGAAGCACGTGTTTCACAAGAATCATTCTAAAAAAAACAAGAATCGTTGCACAATGTACAGCATGCATGTTCCACGGGACCGCAGATTGTCCTCACGGTCCACGGCCCACGGCCCACGGCCCATGGGTTGATGGTCCAACGTGGAAGTAGAGCTAGAAAGGACGCAAGAAAGATCCTGGGGCCCGAGACAAGTCCAACCTTGACGAGGAGCCGCCGAACCGGACCGCCGGACCGGAGTCCCGAGTCCCTCCTGGAAGACACACGTGGCAGCCGCGCCGCAGTTCCGTTGCGCGCTACCGTTCCGCTCCGCGGCGCCACCGTTTTCCTTTCCCCGGGTCGCCATGCCGCCCCGGGTATAGTCCATCAGTCCGTTTGCGCACGAGCCTCGCGTTGTCGTCTCGAGAAAGAGAGAGGAAGGAAAATCGTTCGCGCATCCTCCCTCAGGAACCCCAGAGGACGAAGGGATAAGCAGCCGGAGTCGAGCCCGCGATCGTCCCTCCTCTCGCCGCCATGGATTTCATGAAGGTGATCGATCAGACCGTCCGAGAGATGTAAGAGCCGCGTTTCTTCTCATTTCTTCTTTATTTTTTTTAAAAAACATAAAGGACTTTTGATGAACAGCTAGCTCTTCCTTTTCCCTTTTATTTTTTCTTTTATACGCAGAAAGAGGGAGGTGAACCTCAAGGTGCTCAAGGTGCCGGAAATCGAGCAGAAGGTTGGGGTTTTCTTCTATTGGAATCCGCACTCAGTCTAACTTTGATACCTCAGATGTTGCCTGGAGCATCTTTTTTTTTTTGGGTTCTTAGATTTGTTTAGAAATCGACCACGAGGGTTTCTTGTCGACTGCAGGTTCTAGATGCCACCAGCGACGAGCCGTGGGGTCCTCACGGCTCCGACTTGGCTGACATTGCCCGGGCCACCAAAAGATAGTGGGTGCCGAATCTCAGTTTCTCCTCACCTCACTTGTTCTTAAAGTTATTGTAATTCTTTTTATCGTTCTATTATCATTTTTTTCTGCAGTGGTGAATGTGCAATGATCATGAATGTGTTGTGGCAACGGCTGGGGAACACTGGTGCAAATTGGCGCCATGTGTCTAAGGTCATTTTTTTAGAGAAATGATAATATGGAGTTAATTGTTGATGAACACACGGTTTAGATTGTTTAATTTCTTCATACATGACTGCTTGCTTTATCTCATTTACAGGCGTTGGCTGTGATTGAGTATCTTTTAGCTAATGGAACTGAACGTGTTGTCGATGAAATTATTGACAATAGCTCACAGATTGCGGTATGTGTCATCAGCTTGTTCAAATTCAAATTTCACTGCTTATAACACCTGATCTCATCTGATGTTTTCCTTTCGGGAAGAAACTTACAAGTTTCGAGTATGTGGAGCCTAATGGAAAAGATGTTGGGCTCAACGTGCGGAAGAAGGCTGAAAATGTTCTAGCTACTGTGGATGATAGGGATAAACTTCAGCAAATCAGAGAGAATGCTGCTGCTACGAGGGATAAGTGAGTCATTCATATCTTACTTACTGATGCAGCATGGTATTCTTTGCAGAAATCTCATCTTTACATGGATCATACATGTAGGTACTTTGGTTTGTCATCAACTGGAATAACGTACAAGTCAAGCGCAGCATCTGGCAATGGCAGCTACTCATCTGGTAGTCACTATGGGAGCACACAGAGTTCAAAAGAAGCTGACACATCCAGTAATAGCTACAGAGGCAAGGAATGGAGTAACCAAAGTAAAGAAACAATTTCAAATTTTAGAAGTACTAGACAAATGTCGAGAAAAAACACAAACAGTGCAACTAACTATAATAAGCCAATAAAGGGAGAACGGCGTCACAGGAGGTAACTATTTACTTCAGAATCCCTTCAGCGACCATTTCTTAGATAATTCTTTTCATTGTGATGCGTGTCACCCTGAAAGATGTGTGGTATGTTGTAGAAATCAAGATCCTCCAACATCACACCTGAAATCATCATCAAATCTTCATTCCACATCTGGAGGAACAATTTCACAGAAAGCAAATAAAGACGACGATGACGACTTCAACCCTCGAGGACCTTCCACATCTGGTTTGTATTCCTCTACTTATGTGGAACATTCTTGTGTGATTGCTGTATTAGAATGGTTGCTTTGTGTTGGTAGCCATTGTTATTTTGCTATGTATGTACTGAAACTTGTGTCAGGATTCTTCTGGTTATTAGTATAATGAGCTAAGGCACAAAGATTTTTCTATAGATTTATTTCAATTTGACTACATCTATCGTTTTGTTGTCAGACATTATACTTATCTCTACCTTTAAAATGCATCAGGAAGAGCTAATGTGAGCTCTAATCATATGGATCTCTTTGGACCAAGTTTAATGGATGACCTTGTGGACACCACTGCATCTACTTCAAGAGCTCTGCCACGTGCTGGAACTGCTTCTGTGCCAGAAGTTAATTTATTCGCTAATGCAGATTTCCATTCTGCTACTCCAGCAACTGGTTCTCACGCACAGGTTTACCCTAGTCTAGTATCTAGTGATACCTTTTTAATAATTCACTTCATTTTACATATCTTGCAGTTGTTTATGCTACATAAATGTGATACAAAAGGGTGCGCTTGCTGCAGCCTTTTGCAGTGCCGCAGCTGGAAAAAATCACAGACAAACAGGCTGAAAATCTTCTCATGGCAAATAAATATCACACTAAAGGACGTAACTTATGAGGACCCACTTTTTCAGTGACACAAGAACGGAGAATCTGCTCACGGCAAATGAAGAATATATCCTAATTTATATTGACTATGTGGTCAACACTTTACAAACTTGATTAATGAAACACTTGATGATTACAATTGCTTACTATGTTAACATCAGTTTCCTAACTGCTGCTTCCCGGATGTCATCACAGGACATTATTGATCTATTTGCGGGCAGATCATCATTTGCTGATTCCATTAATTCAGATACAGAATTCTCAGGATGCGGAAGTAATAAATCCTCAGAGCATAATCCATCTTGCCTTGCACATTCTTCAGCCTCTGTTTTCGATCCCTTCCAACCATCCTTTGCAACATCATTCCCTTCAGACACAGGGTTCTCAGCGCGTGACACCCCAGGCAAATCTAAAAACCCAATTCACCAGCATTCCATTGCTGCAGATTTTGATCCTTTTGCTGCAATTGCAGTGAGGAATCTTGATGGATCTGACTCCGATGTATTCTCTTCAAATACAGGTTCAGGTCTTAATGAACCAAGACATGATCCTCCTGTAAGTGTCAAAAGTTCTGATCATAGTCCTTTAGAGGAGCTGAATTTTGGTGCCTTCACTTCACATACGGAATTGCCTAAAGCAACTGCTATCAAATCCTTGAACAAATCACCCACAAAGCCAGAGCCAGCCTCTATGTCAGCATCAAAAACAGATGTGAAGAAAGGAGCCTTTCAGGTCAAGTCTCGCATATGGGCTGATTCTTTGAGTCGTGGCCTGATTGATCTGAATATAACTGCCCGTATGTACTTCTATAACCCATTTTCTTTTATATGCATGTATTTGGTGGGCCCTCTGCATTTCTGCTTTCACAGAAACTTTATTAGCTTTATACATGTATCATGCATGAGTTATAGTTCCTGCTCTGTACATACGAAAATTGCAAACTATATATCATGAGTTGCAGTCCCAGTTCAGCACATGCAAAGTTATAGTTTCTCTATTAGTAGGAACGATGAGGAACATATAAGATTCTACTTTGTGTATTCTTTTACATATATAAAAAGATGCCTTATACAATTAAGAAGTAATAAGTTTCCAAGGCAACAGAAGGCTAGATTACACTCGGTACAGTAGCTTATGAATGTTCTTATTCTTATAGCTTATGAGTGTTCATCATTATATGCAGCAAAGAAGGTCCATCATTCAGATATCGGGATTGTTGGGCAAATGAGTAACGGATCTGAGGAGAAAGCCTCAGCTGCTCCATGGTACATGGGTGCAACTATGCTCGATGGATCAGGCCGTGGCAGTTCTGGCTTTCCGTTGTCCACAGGAACCAATGGTGTTGGTGGAGCAGAGATTTCTAGCACCAGCAGTTTGGAAACATCTATTGACTTTGCATCAAGAAGTTCTACTTTGCCTTGAGTGAACATGTCTTCCTCCTATCCATGCTCTATTGCTCTTGTAGAGTTGCAATATCTGATTTCTTGGACCATATCCTGTAGTGTATTCTAGAGATTTTAGAATAAATAAGAGACAATACTAAAGACATACGTATATATCCTTTATTTTTTTAATCAGACGCTATCATTAGCATGGTCAATAGAATTTGGTTGATAAATGGCAAGTAATGACATTAATAACTACCAAATTTGTGCTACTATTTAATGCAAAACTATCTTTCATTCCTAAAAATCTCTTATTTGGGGTACTATTTTTAAATGTTTGAATGTAGCATATTATAGGGTGGAGGGAGTATATATAGGGTCTGTTTGGTAGGGCTTCAGTTTTGAAAACACAACTTCAGAGCAGGTGCTCCACCATGGAGCAACTCTACGGTGGAGCTAAGCTCCCACCAAACCATTTGGTAGAGCTCCAACTCTAAGATGGATTCATTTGTAATTTTTAAAATCATTTGTAATTTTTAAAACATAAATAGGGACTAAAATAAAAAATATCTTCCTCAGCAGTGGTAGACCGAGGGACGGGCCGTGCCCGAGGCCACTGGGGCCAGCGTGAGGGCCGCACGGCCACACACGGCGCCGTCGAGGCAGCACAGTAGTGCGCCTCGCTTCTCGGAGGAAAATGAAATCCGCGTCGTTGAGTAGCACAGCAGGTGAAGGATACATCCCGCGGCAGCCTGTCCCGACTGGAAATCTCACTGGCCGCAGTTACGTTCCATGGGATCCAAGGCCGCCGTGGCTGGCGCAAGGGCGGCGCGGCCGTGCTTGAGGTCGCCACGGCTGGCTCGAGGGACACGGCCATGCACCATGCTTGTGGCTGGCACGGCCGGCGCGAACTCGGCTCTCGAGCACGAGGCAAGGTGGGGCCAGGCTCGGGGCGTACGGCGCGAGGCGAGGCTAGGTTGGGGTTGCCGCGGCCAGTGCGGCCGGCGGCAGCCATGTCTGGCCAGGCGAGCACGCGCTGAGGGCGAGGGGATGGAGCGAGCGAGGTATCGGACAAAAATAAGAAAGAACCGCGAACCATTCATTTTCCACTAATGAGTGATAGTGGTGGGTAATTTTTACTAACTTCACAAAATTAGAGTTTTTAGAGCACCTGGATTTGGTGGCTCTAGGAGCTAGATCCACGTTTTTGGCAAATCTGGAGTTCGCGGAGTTAGGGCGTTTGGCTGAAAAAAAATGGGAGCAGAGCTGTTTTTTAGGATCTAGAGCTGTGTGGAGCTCTACCAAACATGCCCTAGTTCTGCACCTACACAACTCGGCACTAGTGATATGAGTACAAGTATTGCAAAATAGTTGTCACCTTTGCCTTTGATGTGTAATGTGTTGGCAACTTTGTTGAATGATTGCATCTATTAGTTGATGCAAAGTTGTGCACTGTATGCCAACATGGCCTACTTCCACCTGATCGCTAGGGGAAGGAAGCGACGGAATTTTATCCCTTCTCTCACAGTCGCTGGGCATGTCATAGCGGACCATGAAGGGATGGAGCAAGGCCTCTTCGACCACTTCAGTGGGGTATTTGGCACGGCCGAGAGTGGGCGCACATCGATCAACTTCGCCGCCCTAGGGATCCGCCCTCTCCCTCTAGCCGAGCTAGAAGCCAACATAAACACTGACGAAGTCTGGAATGCGATCAAGGAACTGCCAACTGATAGGGCACCTGGGCCGGATGGCTTTACGGGTGTTTTCCACAAAACGGCATGGCCGATCATCCAAGACAGCGTCATGGCCGCTATCCAGTCATTCACGCACGGCGACTGCAGAGGTCTGCACAGGCTGAACAACGCGCTGATTGTGTTGTTGCCCAAGAAGGTGGGAGCATATTCTCCGGTGGACTTCCGGCCGATAACAATGATTCACAGCTCCGCCAAACTGATCTTCAAGATCCTTGCGCTGAGGCTGGCACCCAAACTCAGCGAGCTCGTCGACAAAAACCAGAACGCCTTCATCCGGGAAAGGACCATACAAGACAGCTTCAAGTACATACAACGGGCATCGGTCCTCTTGAGGAAGAAAAAGGTCCCCATGCTGCTACTCAAGCTCAACATTTCAAAAGCATTGGACACCCTCTCTTGGCCTTTCTTACTGGAGATACTGCAAGTAAGGGGATTTGGTCAGAATTGGTGCCGACGAATCACCGCTTTGCTCTCGACGGCGTCGTCTAGGATCATCCTAAATGGACGCCAGGGTCCGCCAATCAAGCACTTCAGAGGGGTGCGCCAGGGTGATTCCCTATTGAAAGTTCCTAATGGCTAGAGGGGGGTGAATAGCCTATTAAAAATTTCTACAACAACATTAAGACAAGTGATTAGTCAATAAAATGGCGAAACGAATTTTATGCTAGCACTACACTTGGGTTTGCAAGCCACCTACCCAATTCTAATTTCTATGATCTCTAGTATGTCACACAAGAGCTATGTCGCTAAATTACACCTAGGTGAACAAAGCTAGCTAGATAACTACAACTAAAGAGCTATACAAGCTACAAGCACTACACAAGGTGAATACAAAGTAATGAGGGAGAAGTGTAGAAATGATATACCGCCGTAGCAAATGATCGATCGATGAATATCAATGAATACCGATGAGACAATCAAGACACAATGATTTTTCCTCCGATGTTCACTTGCTTGCCGACAAGTTAGTCCCCGTTGTGGCGATTCACTCACTTGGTGGTTCACGCGCTAATAGGTATCGCATGCCTAACCCGCAACCGAGTGCCGTACAACCAACACAAGATGAGGATCTACAAGCCACGCGCAATCCACTATAGTTGCCTTTAGCGCTCCACCGGGGAAGGCACAAGAACCCCTCACAATGACAATGATCAGAGCCGGAGACAATCACCTTCCTCCGCTCGACGATCCACCAATCACCGGGCCGTCTAGGTGTCGGCAAACACCACGAGTAATAAGAACTCCACCAGCCCAAAACGCCCAACTAGTGCCACAAGATGCTAGAACATTAAGCAGTGCACTAGAGGCTCTCCAATCTCACTCAAGATGATGAAATCAAGTGTGCAAGTGAGTGGAGTGGTGTGCTCAGCTCTCAAAGGGTGTATGCAGTTGTTAGAAGTGCCAAGAGAGTGGTCAAGGCCGGCCACTAGCTCTATTTATAAGCCCACAAGCAAATAGAGTCGTTACCCCTTTGGAGCCACTTTCTGTGAGGGCACCGGACACGACGGTGCCTGGCATCGGACATGGCGGTGCCCCTCCCAACGGTCACTTTTCAACGGCTAAAAACTAGCCGTTGGGGCACCGAACAGGGTGGCGGTGGCACCGCCCCTAGGATGGCGGTGACCACCCGGCCAACTGCCCGAAAACCCTAGCATCTGGATTTTCATGGTGGTGCACCGCCCTCAGGGCGGCGGTGCCCACGGCGGTAACCACCTCCAGTTCACCCAATCTCTAGAAAAATACGGCGGTGGCACCGCCCTTCTCACGGTGGTGACCGAGCGGTGCACCGCCCTCACAGCGGCGGTGCACACCGAATGCACTAGTGCCACGCCCTTCTCTATTGCTCTTAGCCAGGTCCAGGTGGGCACCGCCCTAGGGGTGGCGGTGCCACCGGACAGGGTGGCGGTGCCCCTAGGGCAACCCGCTGCTCTCGGCCTCCCAGCCGGTCACCGCCATAGGGGGGCGGTGCACCGGACAAGGGGTGGTGGTGCCACAGTGGTAGCACCCCAAGCCGAGTTTCGCCTCCGTTTCTTCACCTTTATCACCACCTTTGTAAAAGTGCTAACACTCCAAGTGTTTCACCATCACGTGCAAGTGTGTTAGCATTTTCGCAATCATTTTTCAAAGGTTAAACACTTCTCACCGATTCTGCACTAGGCCTAAAATGCATATGCATGTTTTCCAACACCTAGTGGCACTAGATGATCGAGTTGTCTGATAAGAGCTCATCTCTTAATAGTACGACCATCTATCCTAAATATGATCACACTCTCTATAGTGTCTCGATCACCAAAAACAAAATGGCTCTATGGATATCACCTTTGCCTTGAGCCCATTTTCTTTTTCTCTTTCTTCTTTTCTAAGTCCCAGAGCTCGATCATCATCACATGTTAACACCACCAACATGGACTTCATTTCATGTGGCCATCTTCATCCATGAGTGCCACCTAGCTCTTCTGCTTGGATTGGACTATCTTATCTAATCACACACTTAGATCCAAAGATTAGTCCCACTAGGTTTCATCAATTATCTAAAACCATACTAAGGCTTTCAATCTCCTTCTTTTTGGTAATTGATGACAACCTTTACAAATATATGAAATAAATTCAAATTTGAATCCATGTTGCTTGCCCAAGCATTTTTACCATGTATAAAAGGATATGGACAAGTTTCATGAACCCCAATTGGTAGCATTAGCTCCCTCTACATATGTGCTAAGAGTTTGGATTGAAGCTTGCACATATGCATGGATTTGAGTTGTGGGAGAGTAATGTTTACCAAATGATGCTAAGGTATAAGAGATGGACCTTTGAAGCGTGATACTAATCGGAGTGCACCAAATATACCATCCTTAGCACCATTAGTAACTAGACATACACAAAAACTAGAATACCCCATGAGATCAACATTAGAAGCAAGTGTCTAGTTTTCTCAAAATAAACACAAGTCTAGTTACTTAACCTAAGCATGCTAGTTTTTTATTTCATCATTCAAACATACAACTAACATACACCACACAAGCATGGAAATTTAATTTAAAACTTGTGCCATGCAAGCAAACATATGAGATGCACATTCAAATACATCAATCAAGTTTATGAGCTTGTTCCCCCTACTTGTGTGCTCAAATTTTAATTGATCCCTTTCCTTTATCATATTACTCCCCCTATGTCAAAATTCTCTCCCCCTTAGTGATTACTTCTCCCCCTATCACTTATATCTTTGTTTCTCTCCTCCTTAGTCATCAATGACCACAATGGTTCAAATTTTAGATAGGTTAAG